ATGGACCTTGAGGGTGTTATGCTGAGCGAAATAAGTCAGGCAGAGAAGGACAAATATCATATGTTTGCACATATAGGAGGATTAGGATGAACTTAACTGAGGACCATGGGGGAGAAGAAGGGGAGAAATGGTGGGGGAAAGGGGGAGAGGCAAACCAAAGAGACTCTTGAATGCTGGCAAAAACTGAGGACTGATGGATGTGGGGGGGAAGGGGGGAGATGGGCATGGAGGAGGGCACTTATGGGGATGAGCACAGGGTGTTATATGGAAACCAATTTGACAATAAACTATTTGTAAAAAAAAAAAAAAACAAAAAAACAAAAAAACAAAAAAAACAAAAAACCTTTAGTGCAGGCTTTCAAGTAACAAGCTGCCTGTCATCTGTCTAACTCTGGTTGAGGATCATACTACCCATGCTTATATAATCATATCTGCCAGATACAGTCTTAGAAAAGATAAATATGATGGTTAAAATTAAATGTAAATGCAAAATGTTAAATGTTTCTTACCATGTGAAATGAGATATAACCAGTTCTGCTCTGTGAAATAAGCTAGGAATTTGGATCACATTTGCACAATTAACTAATGCAAAACTTTCTGAACTCTCCAGACCAGTGCACCTGTTTGCCAGCACTGGTGTACCTTCCCAAGTGCACCTAGTGACTAGAAATAGTACCTTAGGTAGGGACTTGATCTATACGCGGCAGAATCCTTGACAAAGTTCTCATTTTATTGTTTTCTGTGTTTGAACTGGTGACACACACCCTCCTTGCACCCCACTCCTAGCCAAGAAAGCCTTGTTTCATTTAAATCATGTTTTTCCACTCCTTTGAGAGTAACAGGCTCCCATCCATACTTCAGTATATCTGTTATGCCTGCATAGTTTGAATCCTCAAAAATAAAAACTGGTGTGTCAATGATAATTCTGATTGTTCATTTTTAGGGTTGAACTGAGATTCAAGGGAGCAAATTAATTCTAATTCAATGGATTTACTCTTACTGTATGAGAAAATAACGAAGCCCTTGGGGAAAAAATCTTAACTGAGAAGCTGTAGGGAATCTCAGTTGAATCTAAAAGATTGGCCAAAGTTCTTAGGCAAGAAAGAAGCTGACCTAACCTGATGCCGAACAACTGCTTTAAATGTACAATTAGAAGAATGTCAGTTTGTGCGCGATATGACAGAAAAAGTTGATTTTTAAATTTCAAAATGAAGGGAGAAAAGTTCCATGTCTTCATTAGTTCTAGTATGCTGTTTTAAAAAATAATTTATATTTAACATGTGCATGTTATTATTGTTTGTTTGCTTTTAAAAATAAGTTCTCAAGCTTTCTAAAAGAACTCTAAACTTAGAGCTCTGAATTTGTAGGTTTAATGTAAACCATTTGGGT